AAGTTTGGCATCATTTTTCTGGACAGAACATAACTGTTCTGCAAAGCAGTCCCCCCAGTTTGTGCTTTGTTTCCACAATGTCGAAGAGACCACATTGTGAGCAGTGAGTAGACCAGCCTAGATTGAGTAACGTGCAGGTAAACCGCACCTTCACCTGGAAGGTGCATCTGGGATCTTGGATAGTGAGGAGGGAGGAAGCGAACAGATGGGTGTTATACCTTCTGCAATTGCAGGACATGTTGGGAGTGGAGGAGAGTAGACCAGGGTAACCCAGAGAGAACGGTCCCTGCGAAATGCTGACCAGGGACGGGGGGGTGAAAGGGGAATTGGTGTCTGGTAGTGGCATCCCACTGCAGGTGTTGAAATGGTGGCTAATGATCCTCCTGGGTGTGCATGCTGGTAGGGTGGTAGGTGAGGTGCAGGGGTGGGGGACCTGTTCCTGTTTTTGCAAGGAGAACAGGGAGTGAGGGCTGAAGTGTGGAGCTGGGTTGGGCACAGCTGAGGACCCTGTTAACTACGGTGGTGGGGAATTCTTGGTTGAGGAAGAAGTTGGACATTTTGGAGGCCCCTTGTTGAAATTGGTATCATTGGAACAGATGTGAAGGAGATGGAGGAACTGGAAGAATGGGAATAGAGTCTTTACAGGAAGCATGGTGTGAGGATGTGGGTTTGTAATGGATATTGGTGGCCAGCCTATCCCCAGAGATGGAAACAGATGTCAAGGATGGGAAGGGAGGAGTCAGAGAGAGAACAGGTGAAGGTGAGAGTAAGATAGAAATTGGAAGCGAAATCGATAAACTTTCTCAGTTCTGGATGAGAGAGGGAAGCAATGCCGGTGATGTCATCAGTGTACCAGAGAGAGAGTTGTAGGTGGGTGCCACTAACATTGTAGCAAATGATTTTGATTTTGATTTGATTTTTTGTCACGTGTACCTAAGTACAGTGAAAAGCTTTTGTTTGCGAGCAGAACAGGCAAATCATAGTCAGAAGGGCACAGAGATCATAGAGTGAAAAAAAACTTGGACAGGGTGAGGCATACAGGTTACACTGCACAGGACTTGTGCTAGGGAAGATTAACATTAACAAGATGAGCATTATTTGAAGCTCGACAATCCATTCGTCAGTCTAATAATGGCAGGGAAGAAGCTGTCCTTGAACCTGCTGGTGAATGTGTTCAGGCTTCTGTATCTTCTGCCTAATGCTAGAGGTTGTAGGAGAGCATAACTGGGGTGCGATGGGTCTTTGATGGTGTTGGCAGCCCTTCCGTGGCAGCGAGCCGTGTAAATGGAGTCCATGGATGGAAGGTTGGCTTCTGTGATGGTCAGGGCTATGCACACCACCTTCTGTAGTTTCTTAAGGTCCTGCGCAGAACAGTTGCCGAGCCAGGCTGTGATGCACCCGGACAAAATGCTTTCCCTAATCTGTAGAAGCTGGTGAGGGTCCTCATGGGCACACCAAATTTCCTGAGCCGCCCGAGAAAGAAGAGGCGTGTTGTGCCACCTTGACCGTCGCATCCACGTGGGAAGTCCAGGACAGGTTGTCAGTTGTCATCACTCCGAGGAACTTGATGCACTCAACCCCCTCAATCTCTGCTCTGTTGATGTAGATGTGTTCTCCTTTCTTCCTGACGTCAATGATCAGTTCTTTAGTTTTGCTGACATTGAGAGACAGACCGTTCTCATTGCACCCCGTCATCAAGCCATCTATCTCCTTTCTGTATTCGGACTCGTCGTTGTTTGATATCCGTCCTACCAGGGTGGTGTTGTCAGCAAACATGTAGTGGAAAGTAACTTTGGTTCCACACAAGTACCAGAAGATAACATCTCCCTTTGACATTCAATGTTGTTACCATTGCTGAATCCTTCACTGTCAATTTCCAGATGGTTGTTGTTGACTGGAGACTGAACTGGGTCTGGGCCACATAAGTAGTGTTGCTACGTGAGTTGGTCAGAGGCTAAGGTTTGTGCCTGTCTCCTCAAACTCTGTCCACCATCTGAATGTACAAGTCAGGGGTGTGGTGAAGTACTCTCCACTGGTCTTGATGGTTGCAGCTCCAACGACAATTGAGAAGCCCTTTCTCAACTACCGCGCGCACCCCCACCCCCCCACCACCATCACCAATTTCAAGATTTACTCTCTACCCCAGCAGTGTACAATGGCAGCAGCGTGTACCACATGTAAGATGCAGTGCTATCACTTGCTAAGGCTCTTTTGACTGCCTCCTACAAGCCTGGACCCATAAAGGCATAGAGGATCTCCAACACCTTCAAGTCCTTGCCCTCCCCAGTCAGACACAATCCTGACTTGAAATTATGTTGTATTTCCTGCATTGTCACGGAGTCAAAATCCTGGAACTCCCTCACAGCATTATGGGTTCCTTCACCCCAAAGATTGCAGTGGTTCAGGAAGGCAGCTCAGTATACCTTCTGTCTGGCAGGATATTTTCATTGTGATTGGCTACTTTATTCTGCTTGATGACCTCACTGTTGCTAGTTGTCTGGACATTCCCTTGACTTGGCTCGAGAGTTAAACTAACGTCAAGAAACGGTAAATTCATGCTGCCGAAATCCCTCAATCTTTGTGGACAGCTTTCTTCAAGGTTGGCAGTGGGGACTCTTAATTTTGCAGTCAGCAGTGAATCAAGCACTATGTAAATAAATGATGCAGGATGGATTTGACAGATGCTTGAAGGTTTGGGCAACTGCATGGGAATAACTGGATGATTTACAAGGTGGATTGCAATCTTTTGTAGTTTTATATTTGCTCATGTTCCACAAGACATTTTGGGTCTCCAGTGATCTGCAGATCAGAGTCATCTTATACAATAATTAAAGCAGAGAAATTTTAGCCACTATCTTCCTGTTGGGAAGATCATCTCACCTAGACCCAATTACCCACCTTCTCCCCATGGACTTGCAATACTTTTCTCTTCAGATAATTTTCCAGCATGCTTTCAAAGGCCTTCATTGAATCTTCCTTCCATCAGATTCTCAGGCAGTGCATTTCAGATCCTGACCACCCGCTATGTTTTTGTTTTTAAAAAACAGTCATCAAATCGTCATTAGTTCTTTGGCCATTCACCTTAGCTCTGTGTCTTCTCGTTCTTGACCCTTTTGCTAACTAGAAGAATATTTCTCAATCCAGACACCTTGTCATGTTGAAAGCTCTTATCAAAACTGCAGTTAATGTTTTCTTCTCTAAGGAGAGCAGCCCTATCTCTTATTCAGTCTTATCCATAGACCTGAAGTATGTCATTCCTGGGACAACACTTAGCTGTGTTTTCTCCACTGTCTTTAATACCTTTATGCCCTCTCTAAAGTGGGGAGGAGCTCAGAACAAGAGACAACTTCCAGTTGAGGCTGCGTCATATTTTGTACTCTGTGTCTATTTTTAAAGCCGGGGTCCCAAATGCCTTGTTAACTACTTTTTCGACATTTGCTGCCACCTTCAACAATTAGTGCCTGTGTCCCCAGAGAATACTGACCTTGACATCTAGAGGACTGGTATATAAGAATGCAGAAGTTATGCTGCCATTGTACATAACCCTGAAGAGACTTCACTAGAGTACTGAGAGCAGATCTGGACACCTTAGGAAGGACATAATTGGCCTTGGAGGGAGTACAGTGTAGATTTGCAACAGTCCCCCTTCATTCTTTATTTGTTTGCGAGATGATAGCGTCACTGCCTAGGTCAGCATTTATTGGCCATTCCTAATTGTCCAGTGGGCGGCTAAGAGTCAACCACGTTGCTGTGGGTCTGGAGTCGCGCGTAGGCCAGACCAGGTAAGGATAGCAGTTTCCTTTCCTAAAGGACATTACTGAATAGGATGGGTTTTTCCAATAATCGGCAATGGATTCATGGTCATCATTGGACTCTTAATTCCAGATTTTTTTTCTTTATTGAATTCAAATTCCACCATCTGCTGTGGTGGGATTTGAACTCAGGTCCCCAGAATGTTACCTGGATTAAGAGTCCAGTGATGATACCAGCCATTGCCCCCCGATGCCTGGACTTCAAGGATTAAGAGGAGAGATCATTTAAAAAAAAAAGGCCTGTTTTCCCTAGAATTTAGAAGGCTCAGGGATGATCTGATTGAAGTCTTCAACATATTAACACTAAAAGAATGGCTAGATAAAGATAACACAGTGTGGAGCTGGAGGAACACAACAGGTCAGGCAGCATCAGAAGAGCAGGAAAGCTGACGTTTCTGATTTCTGAAGAAGGGTCCCGACCCGAAAGGTCAGCTTTCCTGCTCCTCTGATGCTGCCTGGCCTGCTGTGTTCCTCCAGCTCCACACTGCGTTCTCTCTGACTTCCGCATCGGCAGTTCTTACTATCTCTGAGTAGATAAAGATAAACTATTTCCACTGGCTGGGGATTCTAGAACTAGGGCATAGTCTAAAAGTTAGAGCCAGACCATTCAGGAAAGTTGTTAGGAAGCACTTCTACACATAAAGGGTGGTAGATGTTTGGAACTTGCTTCCACAAATGGTAGTGGATGAAGGATCAGTTGTTAGTTTTAAATCTGAGATTTTTTGTTAAGCAAAGCTATCTATTTGCAGATATGGGCCAAAGGCAGGTATGTGGAGTTAGGCCACAGATCAGCCATGATTTCAATGAATGGTGGAGCAGGCTCAAAGGGCTGAGTCGCCTGCTCTTGTTCCTCACCTGCACCTTTTTTTTTTAAGAGTCATACTCTTTATTCTGCCTTTCCTCGTGTTTTTTTTTTTTTTTCCCTACCAAAATGAATCACTACGCAACTGTTCTCGTTCTGAAGAAGGGTCACTGGACCCAAAACGTTAAATCTGATTTCTCTCCACAGATGCCACCAGATCTGCTGAGCTTTTCCAGCAGTTTCTGTTTTTGTTTCTGATTTACAGCATCCGCAGTTCTTTTGGATTTTACTGAGTCTTTGTTCCTTTCCTAACCGATACTGCAGCAGTTCTGTAATGCGTCCTTTGGAAGTCTCGGATGTGATTGATCACCAAGTGAAACAAAGTCTTAAATTACAAACATGGATAACACTTTATTTAACCAGTTGTTCCAATGGACTAAATATCTTATTTCCATTTATCAGTGTGTCAAACGAAGGAAATTCACATCAAAAGAGTGAAAATTTTAAATTGTAAAATATGAAATTTTATTTATAGGCTATTATGAGTTTGAAGAATTATTTCAACTTAAAACCAGCGAACCACAAATGAGGCAAAATGTCAGGGGAAATTAATTTTTTGTTGACCCGTTTAATTTTGGATGTGATGGGTATTGTTGCATCGATTTTTAATTTTTTTTTTTGGAAGAATTTCTGCAATTGTGTAACACTGGAATCATTTTGCTGGCAAGAGGAATGGATTTACGGACTTAATGTTGCAAAATAGTTCCACTTTCAGAACCAGGGTCATAACCTAAGGATACAGGGTAGGCCATTTAGGACTGAGATGAAGTTAAATGTCTTCACTCAGAGTAGTGAGCCTGTGGAATTTGCTGCCACAGAAAGCAGTTGGGGCTGAAACATGGAATATTCTCAAAAAGGAGCTTGATTATAGTAAGTGGGATAATGAGTCAAAGGGTATGGGCGAAATCTGGTTCAGCCATGATTATATTGAATAGCAAAGCAGGTTCAAAGGGCTGAATGGCCAACTCCTGTTCCTGCTTTCTATGTTTCAATGTGCTAGATGCCCTTTGGACGGTTGGTATGGACTAGATGGGCTGAATGGCTGTTTCCATACTGTAGAGATTCTGTGGTTCTATGATACCAATCTTGGTGTCATCTGTAAATTTGGTCATCATTCCCCCCCACATTTTCATCTATATCATTTATGTATATAACAAACAATAAAGGTTTCAGTACTGATCCTTGTGGGACACCATTGGATACTGTCCTCCAGTCATTCCCTTTGTGTCCTATTACTAAGCCAGTCTCTAGGTTTCCCTCAATTTATGTGCTTTAACTTTCTCAATCAGTCTCCAACATGGGACCTTGTCAAAAGCTTTGCTAAAATCCACATAAACTACATCAACTGATCTCTCCTCATCCACACACTGGATCACATTTAAAGAAAAAAATTCTAACAACTTTGCTAGGCGTGACCTCCTTCTAACAAAGCCATGCTGACTATCCCTAATTAGCCCGTGCTTTTCCAAGTGGATATTAATTTGGTCATGCAGAATTTTCTCCAGTAGTTTCCCTACGACTGATGTGAGAGTTACTGGTCTTAATTTCCTAGTTCATCTCTACCACCCTTCTTGCCACATTAGTTGTCCTCTGGTCCTCTGACACCTTCCCCCTGTGGTCAGAGAGAAATTAAAAATTTGTTTCAGAGCCGCTGCAGTTTCCTGCCTTGCCTCCCACAGCAGCCTGGGATGCAGTTCATGCAGGCCAAGGGCTTTGTTTTTAAGCCTGACAGATCCTCCAATACCAACCCCACCCATTTCCGATGTTGAACTGTGCAAGTTTCTCGCAGCCCTTTTTCCTGAATTCCATACCTACAATCTCCTTTCCCAAAGAGAAGTATTCATTCAAGACCCTTCCAATATACTGCGGCTTCACACACAGGATTCCCCCTTGGTCCCTAATGGGCCCTAATCATTCTCTGGTTAACTACTTCCCCTTTAATGTATTTATAGTGAATTTAAATTGCTTTTTATTCAGCTTTTTAAAGACATTGAGTTGTGGTTTTTTACTCCCTCAGCTGGGCTTATGTCCTAAACCTTCTGTTGATTATTTGTTTGCAAGTTTAAACCGTGGTTTGATGACAGCGTACGAAGATTGAGTAATGCCATTCAGCAGTCAATTGTGTTTTTTACATTTCAAGTTTGAAAATGCGAGACATTTTTTTAGCTCAAGGATTTAGGTTTTTCAAAAATGAAGTTAGGTCGCAGATCAGTAATGAATGATGAAAAAGCCTCCCAGGGCTAAAGGACCTCATCTTATTTCTAAGTTATAAAGTCAGTGGGCCGAAGGACCTTATTCTGTGTTGTGAACTTCTGTAACTCAAAGTTGGGTTTGGTTTCATGATTAATCCACTTGTATGTGTTTTTTTTTGAGGAAATGGTGTTGATGGGCCCAGTGTGTTGCATTCTGTCAGGAAGAATTTGTGATCTTTAGGATAGAATTAAACTTTGGTCCTCCTACTGTTGACATGACAATGAGGGGAGTGATCGAGTGCAATATTTGAATTGTTAGCAGGGCCTGAAACTTCATTGAGCTCTAACTCCTCTGCCTTTTTATCCAGGCCCAGCTTTGATCTGAAAGCTTTGCAAAACAGAAAGTAGATCACTGGATCAAAGCACGAGTTAAGTGTTGACAGCAAGAGGGAAGATTCCTTAGCGTAGTACAAAATCGTCTTCCAGTAGCAGTCTTTAATAAAGTTGGTCTGACTCAAAATGTACGGAAGTCTGACAATGTGGTAGGGCACAAAGCAGACCATAAACACCGCGAGCAAAATGAGAATGTTGTTCTTTGCCTTGGTCTGCTTGATCAGTGACTGTGTAGAAGGGGGTCGGTGGAGTTGCCGTGAAATTTGAACGTAGAAGAAACACAGTCCAACTAACACACACACAAACGTGATCAGGGCAGCAATGTGAGAAGATGCGTATATAGTTTCCTGTTCCTGACCAGCTTTTATGCAGATGTGAGAGTTCGCTGGCATTGATTGCTTTTCCTTATTTACCAGAAGCACGAAAAGGATTCCGACGAAGATGAGAACACCCCACGTTCCCAAGGAAAGGCGTTTAGCAGTCTTCAGATTTTGAAATGCATGTACTTTGAGTGGCCTGACGATTTTTAGGTACCTGATTGCTGCAATATATCCAAGAAAACAAATACTGGAATATATGTTCAAATAGAAGATGCATGCCACAAAATTGCAGTAAATGTTGTTCAGGTTTCTAGTGGGAATGGATTCACTATCTTTGAGGATTTTTATTGGAAGCGAAAGGACCAGGAGGGAATCGGCTATGACCAGATTCTTTAAATAGACTATAATGGAATTGCTGCTGGGGATGTGACAGAAGTACACCCAAAATGCTAGGCTGTTGAGAATGAATCCGGTTATACATATTACTGTATAAGCAATAATAATAAATACTATGAATCTGTATGAGATAGTGACGCAAGGGTTACTCTGATGGTTTGTCGTGCTTAGATAGTTTGTTGTATTCACAGTTGTGGCGATTTCTGAAGAGGTAGCCATCAAAATTGGTAATAGAGAAAGTTACTGAATTAGCCTATGATTTTTGCCACAGTAGCATCCGGTGAAATAGTTCCCAGTGCGGTTCCTCCTTCCTTTTGCGTTTCTGTCTGCTGCAATATTAATGCTAGAGCCAAAACAAAAGTGAAAAGAACAGCGACTGAATTTCAAAAGCAATAGTAAGTCTGTGTTTTGAGGTTCCAAACCTGTGAGCTCTGCCGCTGAGAAGGGCAAAGGCAGCAAGTGAATGGGAACACCACGATCTGCAAGTTCCCTTCCAAACTGAACGCCTGAACGACCTGGAGCTGTATCACAGTTCCTTTTTTGTCAAAAGTCGCACGACACCGGGTCATAGTCCAACAGATCTGTTTAAAATCATAATCTTTCAGAGCTGAAGTCAACGCACAAGTCAGGAGTGTGATGGAATACTCCCCACTTGCCTGGATGAGTGCAGCCCCAATAACACTCCAGAAGCTTGACACCATCCAGGACAAAGCAGCCCGCTTGATTGGCACCACATCCACAAACATCCACTCCCTCCACCACCGACGCTCAGCAGCAGCAGTGTGTACTATATCTACAAGATGCACTGCAGAAATTCACCAAAGATCCTCAGACAGCACCTTTCAAAGCCATGACCGCTTCCATCTAGAAGGACGAGGGCAGCAGATATATGGGAGCACCACCACATCCAAGTTCCTCTCCAAGCCGCTCACCATCCTGACGTGGGAATATATCCCTGTTCCTTCACTGTCGCTGGGTCAAAATCCTGGAATTCCCTCCCTAATGGCATTGTGGGTCAACCCACAGCAGGAGGACTGCAGCGGTTCAAAAAGGCAGCTCACCACCACCTTCTCAAGGGCAACTAGGGATGGGCAAGAAATGCTGGCCAGCCAGCAACGCCCACATCCCCCCAAAAAAAAAATTTTGAGTAGATTTGTTGGACTATATCCTGCTGTCGTGCGACTTCTGACTTTGTCCACCCCCCAGTCCAACACCGGCATCTCCACATTGTGGCTCCTTCACTGTCATTGGGTCAAATCCTGTAACAAACTTCCTCACAGCATTGCAGGTGTCCCTACGCCCCAAGGACTGCAGCTGTTCAAGAAGGTGAATCAGTCACCATCAGTTTCCTGGCAGTAATTAGGGATAGGCAATTTGACCGGCAGTACCCATATCTCCCAAAAGAAGCAAAGCCTTGCCCGTTATTTATAACCGAGTAGTAGTTTGGGTGTACCTCCCACTTTTGATCAATAAATGTGAAGCTGGAAAAGCACAGCAGGTCAGACAGCATCAAAGAGCAGGAGAGTCAACATTTTGAAGGGTTTTGGCCTGAAACGTTGACTCTCCTGCTCCTCGAATGCTGTCTGACCTGCTGTGCTTTTCCAGCTCCACATTTATTGACTCCAGCTTCCTGCATCTGCAGTCCTTACTGTCTCCAAGACCTCCAATTATGATGTTACAATTGAAAAGCCCTCCAAATATGTGAATTATGATTTTCTCCTCTTTAATGTAAAGCCAAAAAAGAAAACTGGATAAAATTATTTAAATTTTTTTTCATCATAACGTTTTTAAAGTATTTCTAGCTGCACTTGAGAACTGCAATAACTGACAAGACATGGACCGAAAATGGGATTAGGTTGGATGTTGCTGGGTATGGAAGGTTTGAGTTAGAAAAGCTGGATAGGCTTCTTTTTCACTGAAGTGTCAGACGTTGAGAGGCAACCTTATTGGTGTTTATAAAATTGAGGGGGTATAGATAGGGTTAATGACAGGTATTTGTTTCCCTAGGGTGGTGGTGTTTCAAGATAGGGTGAGCGAGGAGAGATTTTAAAAAAGATATAAGTGGCAAATATTTTTTAACATAGAGGGTGGTTCGCATGCGGATTGGACTTCCTGAGGAAGTGGTGGATGTGGGTACAAATTACAATGTTTACAACACATTGGGATATATACATGGGATAACAACATGTAGAGCTGGATGAACACAGCAGGCCAAGCAGCATCAGAGGAGCAGGAAGGCTGACGTTTGGCCTGCTGTGTTCATCCAGCTCTACACCTTGTTATCCCAGATTCTCCAGCATCTGCAGTTCCTACTATCCGGGATAAATACATGAACAGGAAAGATTTGGAGGGATACGGGCAATTGGGATTAGTTTAGTTCGGCATGGACTGGTTGGAGCAAAGGGTCTGTTTCCATGCTGTAAGGCAGAGTGGCATGGGCACTGGTGTTGGTCTATATTTTGAATGGTCCATATTTTTAAGAAGTATCAGTTACTTGTGTAGTGCAAGCTGTGCAAACCAGAACAGCACCAGAATTATTTGGACTTGCTGTTGTGTTATTAATTTGCACCATTGGAGGTTGCTGACAGTACAGGCAGCCTTTCTGACCCTGGACTAGAATCATGGAAGATATAAATTGGCTGGGGGTATGATTATGCTTGCCTTGCGCAGTCACCTAGGCTACCAGGCGTCGTGCTCTGACCTGAGATGAAGAACTGCTACTTGAAGCAGTTATTGGCAAACTGCCTGGAGATGTTAAACCAACCATTCGCAAGAACCTGAAAGAGTGGTGGAATCCGTCTCAACTACAATTTTCTAACAGGGATTGGATGAATAATAGCAGAAAAAAAATTGCAAAATCATCAGAAAATTCAAAGGTACTGTGACTGAACTGGGGCGTTCTTTTCAAAGGGATGGGAAAGACACGAGATGAGCTGTAAGATTCTATGACTCAGTATCTTAGAGAGCAAAGGGAATTGAGAACATGAGAAACCTACCTCTTGTTCTGCTGTAGGCAAACAATCCTGTAATACTCAGAATGCTCAACTCAATGAGAAACCGTGAGGAAGTCGACTCAGTGTGCAGGAAACTGTATTTAAAACGGAAAAGAGGAAAAAAAGAAATTGACACAACTGAAGTTTAATCCTCCTCATCTTCCGCTGCTCATGAGCATTCTGATGAAGTTGTAGAAGAGAATGTATCTTCTATTCCCATCGCAGATCCCACATTCTCAGCAGAGCGCCATACGAGGTGTTGGACACTGAGCTATATAATAATGCAGCCCTGCTTCTGTGACCCACAGTTCTGTAGCTAGGCATGAGCCAGGATAAGGCCAGTAAGGAGTGGTTTTGTGGTTTTTTTTTTTTTTTGCTGTTTGCTGCCAATAAAATCTTTATCTATCTATTTCACACAGAATAACTCCTATCATTGAAGATTACTTAATTTGAACAGGATCCTATTTTGGGAAACAGATTTTCATTTCAGGCATGTCTGAATGCTTATACTTTGAAAAGTGAACTGCAAAGTCCAAAATTAGAAATTGCTAAGCATCTTGTTACTCACTTGTTTTCTCTGTTCCTGTTCTATATCCACACATTTTCTGAACTTCTGTGCACTGTTCGTCAGCCAAAAGAGAGAGTTTGTGGAACCTCTCAACACACCCCATTTAAGCAATGTGTGCTTACTGCATCCATCCAGTAACCCAGATCTCACTGAAATGAGTTGTCCAGAAGATCCGCACAGACCCCAGCTAAACTCCAAGCACACTCTCAAGTCTCAGCAGATGAATCATCAAGGGCACTTGCTCAGATATCAGCTAAGTTACAGAATCTCAAGATTATTACAATGCAGAAGGATAAATCATGGGTGGATGAGCACAAACCATAGGTAAAACTTTTCACCGTGTATTATTGTAAAGCTCAGCTTTAGTCTTTAAATGTTACTTTAATCATGATGCCCATGAAGAGTCATACAGCATGGAAACAGACCCTTCCAATCCTGACATCCCAATCCGACCTAGTCTCATTTGCCAGCATTTGGCCCGTATCCCTCTAAACCCTCTGTATTCATGTACCCACCCAGATGCCTCTTAACTGTTGTAACCTATTTTAAAAGTAGTTGTAAGCTGCTTAGAGCATGGGCTGTCATTTCCCTACATTTAAAATGAAAAGCAGCAATCTCTCAGATGGTTAAAAACTGGCTGCGCGTTTTGCTCAAGATTTGTGGACTTTTCTTTGGCCTTGAGTGAAGGGATGAATCGGTTTCAAGTTGTAAGTTTTGGCTAAAATTAAATCTTGGCATTTATCAGTTCAAATTATGGCCTGCAATCCGAACTCCCGGTGCAGCCATTTGTCACATTAAATCTGAAAGTAAGACTGAGTCAAGACAGCGTATAATGGATAAACAACAGACTGAATTTCTGAAGCTGTTGCTGTCTTACGTTGGTCCACTATGGTTGGTTGCCATTAACTTAAAACTTACAGATTTGAGTTTTCTGGAAAGTTTTAATATTACACCAGCATTAAGAGAAGAGCAATAACAGAAAAATGTTGGAAGTACACAGCACATCCATCAACAGTTGGAAAGACAGATTAACATCCGAGTTAGGGCCCCTTTCTCTGATTCACTATTTGAGGAATGGGTTTTACTTGAAATATTTAATTTCTGAAACTGAATGTTAGTCACCTTGTTGTTTCCATTGTTTTAGTCGTTCTGTCTACACATTGTTTTGTACAGGAATTTCTAGAGGTAATTAGCAGATTTCTTTTAAACAGTGCACTCTTACTCTTTAGGTTTATTGAGTGGAGTTAGAGAAGTAGCAATTGATTTTAATCCTTTTTCCCCCAAAAAGGGAACTGGTGTTATTTTCCTGTTGGGTGAAACCTTTTTAGTTTGTGGTTGCTGCGAAGTCTGCTACTAACAATTTAGCGAAAAAGAAAGAACAGCCCTCCTGTGTTTCATTTCTAATCGTATTCTTTTGAACACAATCTTCTGGATCTGTGACAACAAGCTTGCAAAAACAAAAACTGCTTTCTAGTTGATAGTGAAATCAGCTCAATCCAAAGTTGTTTCAGAGATAGTAGGAACTGCCGATGCTGGAGAATCTGAGGTGACAAGGTGTAGAGCTGGATGAACACAGCAGGCCAAGCAGCATCAGAGGAGCAGGAGAAGAAGGGTCTAGACCCGAAACGTCAGCTTTCCTGCTCCTCTGCTGCTTGGCCTGCTGTGTTCAACCAGCTCTACACCTTGTTATCTCAGTCCAAAGTGCTGCTGTCAAATCTTTTTTAAAAGGAGAGTTTGCCTCCTATCTGATTTGTAACATGTTAATATAAGTATTGTGATTGTACAATTAGCAGTGGTTTCGGTGAAATGTTCAGCTTTAGTTTTGGCAACATGAAGACACCGATTAATAGCATTTACATTACATAAAGTTGTACTTACCTGCTAAAGCTATGGTATCTGACCAGTTAAACATCGCCGATGACTTTGCAGAATTTATTACAGAGCGTGCAGTCAAGGTATTTCGATTTCTGTTGGTCAACTTGCACATCAAGTTGACTGATCATAGCTTCCTGTCAGTGTTAATGCACAGGAAACAATTGATGTGGTTGAATAATCTAACTCAATTATAGTCATTTCAAGAAACTCTCCTGAAAAATTCAAGGAGGTGATGACGTAGTGAAAATATCTCTGGGTTAGAGGAACACGCAAAAACAGAAATTGCTGGAGAAACTCAGCAGGTCTGGCAGCACCTGTGGAGAGAGAAACGGAGTCAATGTTTCGAGTCCAATGACCCTCCTTCAAAGCTGAAAAATAAAACTAAGAACTGCAGATGCTGAAGATCTGAAGTAGAAACAGAAATGTATGGAGAAACTCAGCAGGTTAACCCTGCTGTCTCTCCACAGACACTGCCAGACTGCTGAGTTTCTCCAGCAGTTTGTTTTCTCTTCTTCAGAATGAGTCTGTGAATGTGGGATCAAACCCCGCCAAGGTGGCTGGTGGAATTTAACTGCACTTAAATAATTTAATTGATTAAGAATATTCCAAATAGAAACTGAAAGAACTGTGGATGCTGTAAATCAGGAACAAAAACAGAAGTTGCTGGAAAAGCTCAGCAGGTCTGGCAGCATCTGAAGAAAAGGAATCGCTGTTAACGTTTCGGGTCCAGTGATCCTTCCTCGGAATGGAAGAATATTCTAAAATTTGAAACTAGTTTCAGTCATGGTGACCATTACTGACCTATTTTTTTTTTAAAATTGGAATAGGATACTTGATGTTGCACTGAAATGGAATTTTGTTTACTGCCCAGAGTTTATCATTGTACTCACATAAATGAATAAATAATCAAAAATAATGCTTTTGATATTTGTCCAATAAGGTTTTTTTAGGCTGCAGTGAAACACTGTGTGCAGTTTGCGATGCCCATTAGTATGTGCCAGAGGGTGAGCTGGTAGGAACTTCCCTTCCATCAGAAAGAAACCTGAGGTGGTTTAAGATTTTCAAAGAGATTGATCAACAAAACACAGAGAAGGTATTTTCACTTTGCGGACAAGACCATTATTTGAAAATAGCAACTAGTAAAAGAACAGTGGATGCTGTAAATCAGAGACAAAAGTAGAAATTGCTGGCAAAGCTCAGCAGGGTGCAGTAGCATCAGTGGTGAGATATCAGAGTTAACATTCACAGCCGTTCTGAGGAAGGGTCACTTGACCTGAAATGTTAAGTTCAATTTCTCTCCACAGATGCTGGCAGACCTGCTGAGCTTATCCAGCCATTTCTATTTTTGCTTCTGATTTACAGCATCCTCGGTTCTTTTGGTTTCTATCTATAAATTGTTGCATTTACTAGTTGCTATATTCAATTTATGGCCACCGGTTCTGGTCTTGTCTGCAGAGTGAAAATACCTTTTAAATGTCTTGTTGAGTTCTGAGGAAGGGTCACGCAACTCGAAACGTTAACTGTGATTCTCACCACAGGTGCTGCCAGACCTGCTGAGCTTTTCCAGCAATTTTAATTAGTAGGCAGAGACTTCCTTACTCAGAGTGTTTAGAATGTGGAACTAGATACCACAAGCAACATTTGAAGTGAATGTTTTTGAAACCGGCAATTCTGCCCAGAAGGTATACGCGCCAGTGGTTTATGCTTTGCATGAACCTCCTCCATCACACCGCTTTCAAACCCCAGTGACAAAGCTGTCTATTCCTTTTTGTGCTCACATGAATTCCTTAAATGAGAAAGAAGTGAAAAAGTCTTTGATTTATGCAGCACCTTTTAATTATCACCAGACATCTCAAAACCCATTACAGCCAGTGAAATAATCTTGAAGTGTAGTCAGTTTTGTAATGTCAGAAATATAGCAGCCGATGTCTACAAAAAGTAAAGCATATTTTTTAGTGACATTGACAGAGAGCTATGAGTCAGTATTGGCCAGCTCAATAAGGATAACTTCCCTGTTCCTCATTAAAATAGTGCCATGAGATCTTTTGCATTCACCTGGGAAGGATGGATGGAGCCCTGGTTTAACCTATTGACAGAAAGGTGGTATCTCCAACAGGACAGAACACCTTCAAACACTGCAGTAAGAATATGAGACCAAACCTCCTGAGCAAAGTTGAAGGGGGCCTGAATCACCAGTCTTCCCTCTCAGAGCTGTGATTGGAAGGAGAGAAAACCATGAGCTGGAAGCATTTCACGTTGTGCTTCTGCATTCCTTGCAGCTGGAGATGGATTTGTAAGCAGAAGCAAGCAAAGAAATGCAGGGAAAGTGCTGGAGAAACTCAGCTGGTCTGGCGGCTTCTTTGGAGAGAGGAACTAATTGCGAGTCTGGTATGACTCTCTTATTCTGGAGAAGTGTCACACCAGACTCAAAACATTAACTCTATTTTTCTCTCTCCACAGATACTGCTAGAGTTTCTCCAGTACTTTCTCAGTGTTTGTTCCAGATTTCTGGTGTTTTTTGGAGTACCAACAGAGGCTTTGAGCTGCTCATGCTTTTGAAGTTTAGTTGGACAAGGACGTAGTCATTGAAAGAAAGTAAACATACCACCCCTTTTAAATTAGAAGGTGCTCAGTATTTTTTATTTTATTTGTATCTTTGTTTTTGGCCAGTGGGAATTGGACTGTGACCATGTTTCATCCAACAGTTACTCAGTTCCTTGAAAACCTGAAGGTTTGGTATGCATTGGAAACAGTAAGGTGGAATCAGTAATCTAACAGTAGATGCTGGAAGCCGGAGCCTGTAGGTGTGAGGCTGGAAAAGCACAGCAGGTGAGACAGCATCAGTGGATCAGTAAAGTCAATGTTGTGGGCTGAAACCCCTCATCAGG